ACCAAATAGCACGACAAATAGAGCTAGGTAGCTGAAAATTATTGTCCAGGGGTACAAAAGCATGGGAAACTCGATTTTGACAATTTGAATGTGAAATTTCAATTTTCAAAACTAGAAAATAGTTATTTTTACAGTTTCAGGGACAAAACTTAGGTCTGAAATAGTCAAAATCGAGTTCCCCATGTCTTGTCACCCTAAAAAACCAATTTTCAGCTCCCTAGCTCGATTTGTCGTGAAATGTGATGCACTGTCTGCAAACACTGTGTAGATCAAAGTGTTTGCAGACAATGCACCGTATTACACGACAAGTTAAGCTAGAGAACTGAAAATTGGTGTCCAGGGGTAGAAAAGCGTGAAAAACTCGATTTTGACTACCTCAGACCCAAATGCTGACCCTAGAACCTAGAAAATTGTTCTTTTTTATTTTCAAGGTTCCAGGGTCAAGATTTGCGTCTGAAACTTTCAAAATCGAGTTTCCCATAACTTTTTACCCCCGGAAGCCAATTTTCAGCCGTTTAGCTCAATTTGTCGTAAAATTTGGTGTCTGGTCTGCACCTCATCGGTGTTTGCAGACAATTCACCAAATTTCACGACAAATTGAGCTAGCAAGCTGAAAATTGGTTTCCAGGTGTAAAAAGGGATGGGAAACTCGATTTTGATAGTTTCGCACCGGAATTTAGACCCTGGAACCATTAAAATTGTTATTTTCAAGGTTCCAGGGTCTGAATTTGGGTCTGAGGTAGTCAAGTTTCCCACGTTTTTTTAACGTCTGGTAACCAATTTTCAGCCGTCTAGCTCAATGTGTCGTAAAATGTAGTGTTTGGTCCGCAAACACTTTGATCTACCTGGTGTTTGCAGACAAGACACCTAATTTTACGACAAATCGAGCTAGCGAGCTAAAAATTTGTTACCAGAGGTAAAAATGCATGGGAAACTCGATTTTGACATTTTCAAAGCCGTATCTTCGGGTTTTAGCGCTCAAAATTCAGATTTTTAAAGTTTCAAAGCTCTATTTTCAAGTTTTTTTTTGTTTTGGAAAATCTTTGCTATATCCTTGAATGCTTTCTCGATAACCGGAAACTAATTACTGGTCGTCTTTCTATTCAAAAAGCGGGACCGATAAAAATGAGCAATGGGATTTCCGAAAAAGGAGGGAGGGAAGGGAGGGGAATAATTTCACACTCAATTTCACTTATATATTCCTTTATTTACCCATAAATATACACCACCGTCTGTCATTCTTATGGTAATTGCTCAGGTATATAGATTCAAAAAAAAAATCCAAAATTTTAAAATTTTTTATCCTTTTTCTCAAAAAATCCTAATAAATTTTTCATGAGATTTTTCTCATGATTCTGTCCTTTTCCTACAACTTTCAATTGTTCTTTTTTTCCTTTTTTTTGGGTCCAAAATCAAAATTTCATTGAAACTTCTTTCATTTTCGCTTCAATGATTTTTGAAATTATTCCTTTTTTTTTGTTTTTAGAATTTTATTGGAGGTTCAAAATTCTATTTTATTTTTATATTTTCAGAATTTTTCGAAAATTTAGAAATGGAAAAATTCGGAAATTCAGAAATTCGGAAATTCAGAAATTCGGAAATTTAGAAATTCAGAAATTCAGAAATTCAGAAATCAGAAATTCAGAAATTCAGAAATTTAGAAATTCAGAAATTCAGAAATTCAGAAATTCAGAAATTCAGAAATTCAAAAATGGAGAAATTCAGAAATTCAGAAATTCAGAAATTCAAAAATGGAGAAATTCAAAAATGGAGAAATTCAGAAATTCAGAAATTTAGAAATTCAGAAATTCAGAAATTCAGAAATTCAGAAATTCAAAAATGGAGAAATTCAGAAATTCAGAAATTTAGAAATTCAGAAATTCAGAAATTCAGAAATTCAGAAATTCAGAAATTCAGAAATTCCTAAATTCAGAAATTCAGAACTTCAGAAATTCCTAAATTCAGAAATTCAGAAATTCAGAAATTCAGAAATTCAGAAATTCAGAAATTCAGAAATTCAGAAATTCAGAAATTCAGAAATTCTAAAATTCAGAAATTCAGAAATTCAGAAATTCAGAAATTCAGAAATTCCTAAATTCAGAAATTCAGAACTTCAGAAATTCCTAAATTCAGAAATTCAGAAATTCAGAAATTCAGAAATTCAGAAATTCAGAAATTCAGAAATTCAGAAATTCAGAAATTCAGAAATTCAGAAATTCTAAAATTCAGAAATTCAGAAATTCAGAAATTCAGAAATTCAGAAATTCTAAAATTCAGAAATTCAGAAATTCAAAAAAAAAAAGAATTAAAAAATTCTATGCTATTTTTCTCACATGTGATTCTGAATAGCTTTTATTCCCACACCAAGAAACCAAA